AAATGTAATATCCACCCTTTTTTCTAATTTCGACATAATTAAGTGATAAAACAAATTTCTTCTTTTTGATTGCGGCCAAACAAATACAATACATGTAGTCCCCATTGTCCTCTCCGTGCCTTGCGTCACAAATGTGTGACACAAGCTCTTGACCCGTTTACGATACTAAGTTACATCAAACCGTCACAAGCCAAATGATTTTGTTTGCACTAACAGAGATGATGTAGAAATCTCTTGATCTGAGAATAATCACATCCAGGTGGAGCTTGAGAAGCACCACTTTTATTGGTCAACCTGGTGGTGAAAGTGCTGGTGTTGTTGGAAGAACAATGCAACATCTGGGCTGTGGTGGTTGATCGTCCTCTGAGACCCTGGTAGTGAGCCTCTTAAAGTACACACGGAGATTAAGTGTGAGTGATCGAATTCTGCAATTAAATTCTGGAAATCTTAAGATGACGTGACATCTCTTTCTCTATCCTTTGGGAAGATGAAAAATGACCACTCCGGAGTAACTTTAGGACTTTAGGACTCTTCTACTTTTCTATTTAGTGCAATCATAGATAAAAAGTTTTATTGTTGGTATTTCCAGTTGTCTGGGCTGCCAAAAGATAAGACAGCCAGAGAGGCACCTTCAAACTGGAAAATGAAGTGGGACGCAATTGGATTAAAATGATGTGTTGTGTACTTCATTAAAGTGTTTTGCTTTACAAGGCCAATGTTTCCACAAGGAATGATTGGCGCCCAAAGTACAAATGACCTTCTCTCCAATGAACATTGTAAATAGGCTTGGACAAATGAATGTGTTTAAGTTTATGGGACGGTTTTACCTTCAGCCACGCAAATTCTTTGCTTTTTACGCTGTAAAACTCAATGACAGGGTCTTTAATAACATCTCCAAAGAGGAAACTGGGTATAATACTAGTGAGAGGATCCGTAAATTTTGGGTTCGTTGAGCCTCACTCTAGAAGGATCCCCAAAGCCATATCAAATATTTGCTGTCACACTAATCACTCAGTTGACCGAGAAAGCGGAAGCGGAGGACTTGAAAACGTCTACTATGTAGCTATCATGGTGTTTGTGGGAAACTACTAGACATTGTGCGTATTAATGATACCTCGGTCACAGTGCTGATAGCGGGTGGAATGGAACCTGGACAGGGCAGATGACGAGGAGGAAGGGAGGGCTTGGTAACCCGGGTGTGCGTGATTACTGACTGACATAGGAAAAGCATTAGCTGTGAAATAGCACAAAGTGTTGATCAGCGGGAAGTCAATGAATGAATCGGTGGTAATATGTGGTAGGGAGAGGGGAAGAGAGCGTGGATGCATGAGGGAGTGAGAAGATAGACCATGGAACTTGGCATCAAATGCGCTCTCGCCTTGTTTAGGAAATGACGTATAATCCAGATACCTGGTTCGTTCGTAGTTCCTATTACCACCGTCAGTCTTGTGGTGGCCGGCGTGAAACAGCAATGGCGAAAAGCACTAAGCAAGGTTTGCAGCCTCCACGGCAATATATCATTCATGTCATTTCTCAACTTCTATTCCAGCGCTCTAGTCTTGCAAAAATCGCCATAAAACAGTCGCATGCTATAAAACGACAAGGCACAGGCATAGCAAACCCGCCGAATTATTTGCGCATGTATTTAATCACTACATGTACATTACATTTTTTGAGATCCTAACCTTAAGTCACATTGCGTAGTTTTCACCGAGACATGAAATTCACAGATATCTAACCTCAGTGCGGAGGGTGCTCTTCGATGAGGCCTCCTGGTTTCACACACACCCATGTGTGCGAAAAATGTTAAATTCAATCCTTTATGACCTTTAATTGAATAGTACGAGAGGTGGTGCATTGAGAGAATAGAATTAGGACGATAAAATTATCCTCTGGCTTCCAACGATCTGCAGTGCCAAATCCTAGCAGAGGGAAGTGAAGAGGTGTGCACATTTTTTCACACCTTTTAGAGAATATTTTTGCTTTTAATGTGGAATATGATAGCAAGAGGAGAACTCTTTGACTTGCTACGAATCACAAGCAGCAGTGGAAGTGAAAATTTAAAAGGGGATTTAACAAGAGAAGGTACTTAGTCTTTCTCAGTGTTACTGACCATGCGGTTTTTACCTGGGTCGTTTAAGAAAGATCATCTACAGACGATTTATGATTATAAGGAGGTGGGCTCCAGGGGCTTAACTAGGAGAGGTGGTGTGAGCACACATGTCGTGGGTCAGTCGAGTCCAGTCGCAGACACCATTAATCAAGATGAGTGTCGCCACCGCTTTTGCGTGCATTCATGTCACAGCGTGGAGTGATTAATCGAGCCTCTCGCCAACCAAGACACGAAAACACTCTCCATCTACAAACAACCACAAACACGTTTTGCTTGGTGATAGAACACTCGGCCTGTAGCTTCCAGTAGTGGCAACAGACAGTTGAGTGGTGTGTCTGCCTCACACACGTCTGTGCCACATGCACACCCAACTGGCGGTGACAAGTTCTACTGCGATGACATGCAGCTGACAGCATTACAGTCCTTTCTGTGGACTTGGTCCTCACAAGGGAGGCAAATATTTACGCGAAACGGGGAATGGATCGCAACTATTCACTAAGACGAAGAGTCGCCTGTGCTGGGTACCAACTCCAATGCAGAAGTGAAGCAGTACTGACTAAACTTTCAACGCTGAATCATCCTGTGGACCACTTAAACACCGAGCCGCGTGTGTGCGAACATACCAGGAAGTAGAAATGTGGTATCCACTCCTTCAACTTTACCTTTCCCTTTTATAAACTCAACTTTCCTCGAATCGTACTAAATGTGCAAAGTGATTGTCATTGTAAAATAAAGAAAAAATAATGGCACAGGTAGATGAAAATGCGTTAGGGTTTGGTTATAAGAATGGTGAATGGGCCAAGTATGGAATCCGTAAATGCCTCCATTCAATCAAATGGCATTAGAGATGACTTATTATGCACCATGGACATGATTTAAACAAAAAGGCTTTCTACAAACACAACACCGAGGTTAATTACCGTAGTTGTAAACCCTCTGCCACCAAAAGTCGTCATCAAAGTATGGATAGCCTAAATCTAAAAATTATCCAAGATCAAGAGCAGCAAAAAGGGGTCAGTACACTTGGACAGAAGAAGGAAGTTGGTAGATTACCTTGCTTTTCGTAGGTTCCACTAGCCGTATAACTTCCAGTCACTTCAGTGGACTTCTGTTGAGCACTGAGCTTCCGCCAAGCCCAACAACAAGCAACCACAAAGCTGGAGAATGTGATTAGGTTAAGCAGAAGTAGACAAATTATTCCAATAACCAGATTCCGCATTCTTATTTGGTCAATTGAGCTTTCTTCTGCAATCGCTTGCTTTAGAGCTGGTTGGAGAGGTACAGTCATGTTTGTTGTTGAAGGCGGAGCTGTAGACTTCAGTAGATCCGCACTCTCCGTTGTGACGGTAGGAGGAATCTGCGTAGTGGACGTAGTTGTCGTCGTAGAGGTGGATTCTGTAGGTCGAAGAGTTGTGTCCAAAACACCATAACCGGGAATAGCCCAACAATTTTCCCTCTTCTTTAACTCTACCAACGGGTTAGTCAAATCGGACTCTGTTTCACAGGAATAAAAGTCCAGCACCTGTTGCTGATGGACAAGAGAAGCTGCAGGATCTCGTTTAGCTAATTTATCTGCATGGGTCACCACGTATCCGGGAGTTTCTGGGCACCGCTTTGGATTACAACATAACCGTTCTTCACGTGGCCATCGATAGCAAGTGTAGTGACCTCTACACTGCAGAAATTTCAATTGCCATCGCAACCACGGTAACCATAGTCGCCCAAAAGCCGGAAAGTCATTCTCCGTCTCACAGTAAAAGGTCAGTCGGACGTAGGTCTCTGGAAATGCAGATACTTTGTTTGCATCTTGTAAAAAACTCGTTTCCTCTAAGTGATCCGGATTCCAGAGGATTAAGCCGCTTATATTTGCGACCATGAAGACGCTGGCCAAGTCCTCGTACGTCATTCGCTTAATCTTCACCATGATTAAAGATAATTTAATCGGTGTGGTGGATTGAGGTTTCACGTGTTGACGAACGGCCTCTACTAGCCGTGATAATGCCCCAGGTACCATAGCGTCAGCAGCTATCCGAAGGTTGGGGTTTGCCGTTCGGGGCTTGAGGACAACTCTTAGAGGTACCGCATGGTTGGCAGCATTGAGAACAGACCTAGGACCGTTGTTAAAAAACTTTGCTGTGATTGGGATTAAAGAAGTGCTAGGTGGTTGCCAGTAGTTACAATCAAGTAGATAAGCCACTGTGGAGTCTCGAGGTAGTTCTGTAGTACAATCAAAGATGGTGGAACCGTTTAGGCGAGTCATAGTGAAACAGATGATCCCAGGACATGAAGGATTCTTTGAAGAATGTCCTGAATAATCTATTAGGGGTGAAGTCTGCGATGAAAGCACTGAAGGTAGTGATGATGTGGTTGTGGTAGTTGTAGTCGTCGTTGTTGATGTCGACGTCGATGTTGAATCCTTTACGGGTGGCGGGATTGGGGGCTCTCCATCGTCTGGAAGTGATGGAAGTTGGATAGTTAAACTGTCTATCACACTGGGTTCTGCGCGAACAAGAGTTATGAGGAGGAAGAATAGGAAAATCCTAGGTGGCATTTTACCGTATCACATAGACGTAGTTGATCTGCAATTCAAGAAAAAAGGAAAGAAGTCGTCAGATTTTTCCCATAAGTCAAATTTTACCTTCACCTTTTGATTTTAAGGGAAAGTTTTGAACTTTCGTTCATGATTTATTCGACTTTATGACAAAAATAATTTAAAGTTTTGTAATTCGAGAGCTCTTTGAAAAGCATTGGAACAGAAAGATTATCAGCACTGCTGAAGCATCGCAGGAGAGGCTACAGCAATTTATTCACCAATATTGGTACCAAGAATACGCAACTCTATCTCAGTGAATGAATGAGTTTGACACCTCGGTTTGGTGCACGAACTTTCGTCTCCTGTGTGTGGACCAGGTTCACAGGAATGACTGTAATGCTGTCAGCTGCATGTCATCGCGGTAGAACTTGTCACCGCCAGTTGGGTGTGCATGTGGCACAGACGTGTGTGAGGCAGACACACCACTCAACTGTCTGTTGCCACTACTGGAAGCTACAGGCCGAGTGTTGAATCGCCAAGCAAAACATGTTTGTGGTTGTTTGTAGATGGAGAGTGTTTTCGTGTCTTGGTTGGCAAGAGGCTCGGTTAATCGCTCCACGCTGTGACATGAATGCACGCAAAAGCGGTGGCGACACTCATCTTGATTAAAGGTGTCTACAACTGGACTGCGCTGGACTTATCCACAGCAAGTGTGCTGGATGCAAGTGATGAGAGAGAGGTGCCGCCCATGCCTTATCACCTGGCCATGGTTTTGGTTAGGTTGCTCTGTATGAACTAAGCAGGTATTGGCCCCTCGTAGAACAATCACTTCGTGACATTTGCAGTATTTGCATACAAGTATGTGTGCTGTCCTGCGCATTGTTGTACTTTGTCCAAATGGATAAGTAACAACCGGTTTCGGAATTCCCAGCGATCGTTTCGTCAAATAAGGGTTTTCATTTAAGCATGATCGTAATACGGTTTCGGCAACGAAGGCAGGGCGAGCATTCCAATAGCAAAATAGTCCTACATTACTACTCCAACATCATGGACAAACTTATTTAGAGATGTGGTATTTTGTAAGTTATTTTTAATTTTCGGGAACTTTGCACCACACACAAATTTTAGGAGCTACCAATGTTAGATTTCCCAAATATACTACCAACCGCCTTCTAAACATAAATAAGTAAGAATTTTACTAAAAACTTGGACGAATGTCTTCAAGAAATTGCATTGCAAGCAGAGGTAAACGTTTTGGTCAAATAAAACAAATTATAAATAACCAACTTTTGCTAAAAAAAGGGTTACATAATTCAAACAAATGAAAATTTCTAAATGAGATCGCTAAAGATTATCCAATTCAAACTTCTTTCCACTTTAGCACGAGTAATTTATTTATTTTTTTTTTTTTTGGAGTTTTACAATAAAATTGGCCCGTTTTACTTCCACACATGACATTAACTTATCATTGAATGTGGGAAATTCCTCCTAACTACACCTACTCATGCGAGTTACTGAATTTTGATTTACAATGCTTGAAAGTGCTTTTATAGTTGCTTGTTTTAACCCTTCAGTTTCCCTTCATAAAGTCAACTACCACTTTTTTTATTAAAGTTCCAGTTTATGTCGCATTTTATTAATTCCGCATCACAATCTTCACATACTTTTTGCTGAATTCGGACTATAACTTCAAGAGGCGGAAAATGTTGCAATTTTTTGAGAATTTCTTCAGAAAAAATGATGCAAAACCATAGCAAAAATTGTTAACTTAATTTTGTACGCCGCTAAATTTGTGCACTAGTTTTTTTTCAATTAGCAGGTAGCTAAGTAAAGAATCCGCTTGATTTTTGACCTTTCTACGATCTAGACTTTGACTGACTTGTGGATTTTTGAGATTCCACACAATTACACAGAGTTCTGCACAATGTTGCAACTTTCCGAATCAACCTGCCGAGCCCCCACATTTAAGTGCCCAAATACCGCCATAGGTGAACGCACAAAAAGTACCGGTCTTATTTCTCCCCTAAGAGAGCGACTGCTACCTGTGCCCCACTTATTTGGAAACTGAAATATTTAGGCTTTTCCATGTCATTCAAGGGCCTTTGAACGTACATTCAAGCCTCAAGCATGGGCAAGGAGGTTTTCTTTTCCTTTCACTTCAATTAATCCCACGTACCACTGAAGATAAGCGCAACAGGCTTTCCCACAGTCTATTGTGTTCCGATTAATATGTTTAGGGTGCTTGCAAAATGCCAATGCACGCCAAAATCCTTAGGCTATTCCGATGTGGAACTCATTCCTATCGTGTAAATTCCTCTGTTTAATCTGCTACCTGTGATTCCACTCCACCGTGCTCATGTGCTTACAATGCCATTTCACTTGAATTCCGATTACAACGAGCACTTTCACTGAAGCTAATGTGGTCCAAAAATACCTGTGCATATTTCATTAATTTGACTACCTAAAAAGCGACTCTAAGCACGTGCACTGTGCAAAAAAAACCAAATCCGGGCTCCTTCTATGCGAATGTATACTCGAAACACCAAAGGCCGTTCGTGCCGTGACCTTTCCTAAAGCGCTTGCACTCTCTCATCAGGTGTGGAGTGATTCAAAACGGAACCGTTTCCACTGAAAAAAGTACAGGCTAACGAATGCTTGCGTTAGTTTCACTTATTTGTGCATAGACAGAATCAAGCATGTGATAATGTGAGTGACACACGAGAACTCGTTAAATAGTAGCTAAAAAGGGCTATCAGGTTTACCTTAATGACTCTTTGAGTTCGATAATAATATGATAATTTCATGGGAATCAAGTTTCGGATACGGGGACACCTTTTAACGGGAGTGGAACCTAATGAATAAATGCGAAAACAGGGGATAGGTATATCGCAATAAATAAAAAATGTAGTGAAGGTGATAAAAAGT